AAATTTATATACAAACTCAAATGTCCAATAACACAATCAGAAAAATATAATTCCAATTGAAAAATAGTTTCGGACAAACACTGTAAACAGCATTACGTTTTGGACATTTTATACATTTTTCCCAACTAGATAATTTTTTCTAAGTACTTTTAAGTCAAGTTTCCCATAGACGCATAGAGATCCCTGCGTCTAGTAATAATGTTGCCGAGCTTCGGCCACGGCCGTTCCTCGGCCTGAAAATTACTCGTCCTCACCTGTCCGTTACGCTGACAAGTATCCGTACAGGTGTCTTGCGCACGTAACCTGGTGGGGCGGATGCCGTGCACGACGGATCCGCCACTTGCGAGCCTGACCTTTATGAATACTAAGGGAGAAGGGGTTGCACGCGATATCCCGGCTCTGTCAGAAGGCGGTCGTGCCGAATTAATGAGCGGCCGGTCAGACCGCGCGCCGTGGAACTCCGTGGAACCGATGCGCCCGTCTGTTCACGGGAGTTATCAATGTCGCGGGGAAATGCCGGATGCGTGAACCCGACTGTTGACGGAAGATCGATCGCCGGTGCCGGAAAACTAGCATTTATTCAGTGGACTCGCTCGGTGTTGCGCCGCTCCGATATTTCCGATATTTCTAAGTTTATAGAAAAATTTAGCGAAACGTCAGTACTTCGAGTATATTCGATAGTGTAGCGTTTATAGTAGTGACGAAAGTGTACATTCTTTTTAAGTTACTGGATTATTGGACTCAGTCGAAATGGTGGAACTTGAAGAGTTTGATGTAAATGCCACCCGACCGAATGTAAATATAGACGAGCAATGAAAATAGAATCATTCCTCATTGTAGATTAGATTAGGTTTCGATAGCGTTCATGGTATCGATAGAACTATTCTGTACACTTCCTTGAAGTTTCTAGATCATTATATTCAGTCAACATGGTGGAAATCGAAGAGTTTCCAAACCGATTTAGCGTATGAATTTTAATAGATCGGATGTAAATATAGACGAGCGACTAAGATAGAATCATTCCCCGTTGTAGATTACTGGTGCGAAAGTAGCTGCCCTCGGTTGAGACGCGAAAAGTAATCACAAGCCTAGGGATTAACGATTAATTAAATAGATACGGCGCGCCGGCGAGCTGCATAGGAAGCCCGTAGCGAGTCGGTATCGGAAGAAAGGGAAGCGAAAGCTTAAAGAAACAGTCGTTCCGGTTTTTAACGCACCTGCGACCGATTTGCCGTCAGGCTGGGAACGAGATAACGTGTTTAGGGGCGAGTTCGCGACGACACCGTGAATACGAGAGGCACCGTAACTACTTTACGATCCTCCGGAGGATCTACACGGCGGCGCGAAGGGTCGTATTTATTTCACGCTCGCGTTTAAAATCGATTGGCACCTGTCCTGTCCTATTCCGTGTCACGTTTCGCCAATTAATCGCGTAAGAGCCTATGCACACGACGCGATCCTATTGCTGCAGTGATTATTTTAACCAGTTAACTGTGACGAGTATACACGTCATCGTAAAGCTTGATACTAATTCCTTCAGCGATGAATTCTTTATTTTTTCACATAAACATGTAATTCTTCTACATATACTCTACGTGCATTCGTCTTGCGTTCGACGAATACACGCTCCATTTTTTCATTTTATTGCGTAGAACCAGAGGTTTTTCCAACTAAATTCCACAGTTAAGTGGTTAAAAAGATAACAGATGCTTCAGTGCGGAATTACTGGAGAAATTGATTTAGTTTCCAAACTGAATCGTGTCAATTGAAATCTTAGTATTCTTAGAGTTCCTATAGAATTTGGAAACGACTCGACTGCTCGGTTGTTCCAGTGTTAAATCGAGGACAGCATTGGTTTCAGAATTTGTTAAAATGCGAAATAATCATCTAAACGTTGTATCTTAGCCAGAAATATATGAAATGCGAAGAATAATATGTAATAACGTAGGAAATCGAGTTTAAAGCTAGTCGCAGCGATTGTCTGGAACGTTTCGAATATAATAGGGGTTGAAGCATGATTCGTTGCACTCGTTGACGAACAGTTTCCGAAAACACGGAACAGTTCGAAAGGAATAATGTAGATTCGCCGGCAGAGTGCACGATAGCACAAAAGGTTGCTCACGCACACGCTCCATTTTTCGATTTTATTACGAGAACGAGAGGTTTTTCCAACTAAATTCCACAGTTAACTGGTTAAAGTAACAAAACAAAGTCTGTCTCATAGAAGAACGATAAGAGAATTTTACCTATGTCGCGTGCATGAGCCCTAAACGCGTCACACTCGCGACGCTATAGCAAGAAAATATTTTCAGGTTAATCCGAAGCGAATTATCAATCGTCTCAACGATTCCGCCGGGCACCGACACACGCCGACGCCGTGTCCGGGTATTTATGGATCGCACCGGCGGCGCTTTAATCGGCCGCCATCTTGCCGTTTTTCGATGTTTTTCCACGGGAATACCGGCGATCGCCGGGGGCGTTATTGCGCTTTGTGACTAACACGCCGTTGGAAAAAGTCGATCCGACGGCGGGAGCGGATACGCGGAACGAGGTCGCACCGTTCATATTTAATGTAAGCGTGTGCCAGTTTCGTCGAGCGGCAGTCCTTCGTTTTAATAATGAAAACGGGCGCATCAAGGATCCGCCGCATTGTTGTCCGCTTTTCAGAGCCGCGTAACAATCGCTGGACGCGGCCGGCACCGTTTCCCTTTTCCAGCTGAACGCCGAGTTTTTCCCTTTTCCCCGGGCCCGGGAAAACATGGTCATTCGCGTTTCTCTTCTGTCGGAGCAAAAAGATCCCGCAACGATCGTTTTCGCCCGTTCAAATACCACCGAACGTCGTTCCGAGCGTACACCTTCGAGCAACGGTGAATAATCGCGGCGGCGATTTAAATTCAGTTACTCGTTAGAGTCTACCTTATTTTAATATTCCCCCGACTAATTAATTATATAATGCTGCAGAATTTATGAGGCGAGTACTTCAAATTGAATTTAATGAACACGGAAATTACTCAATTCGTATCGAGCGAAGGCGAACAACATTCTCCGGCTTACGTTCAAACGTTTGAACCCCGGCTTCCTATGAAATTCAGATGAAATTTCAATCCGATCCCAATCGGAGCCAAATGTTTGTACCTTAATGACGAGTCAACATTAAACGTTTCGACTCGGCATTATTCGGCGCATAACTATTGCAGTAAATGTAATTTCAAAGTTTAAACGTTGAATTCATTCGGAGGCCGACTATCTTAATCACCGCGAGCGTAATTGCCATAAAAATCGCGAGACTAATCCGTCAATTAGCGTTTCGTATAATCAACGACCGACGGGAACCTTCGAGATCTCGTTTCCGAGGGAATCATCGCGAGAACCGGCCCATGAATCATCCCCCGCGCCGTCGATATGTCATCGTTAGAGCCTCCGTTATTCCCCGCAAAGTAGATCCGCTCGTATTTGCGGCCCGAGCTATCCGGCCGTCCGACGGTATTGAAATGTCGTCGTGTGCGTCCGAGGAAACCGGCGGACGACCGGACCGAGGGGGAAAGGAAAGGTGGGATTATCTGAATACAGTCGTTTCAGGGGTGAGTTGCGGCCCCCCGGAGGGCAGTAGGTGGCCGCGCTGGAACCGTCTTCGGCCGCCGCTGACGTATAGCGGTCATTCCGACGCGGAATTGCCACCATCTTCCTCCTAGCGCTGTCGCGAGGGTCTCGAATAGATTATTTGAATATCGACCGGCACTTTCGCTCTATATTCCCTGGGAACTCCGAAACACGGCGGCCATGTGTCACCGGGATTGCTCGCGTTTTAGCATAATTCCGGCTGATTGATAACCGGGGTGCAGGGATGTTATCTGGATCGCATTCATCCCGTCCCCCGGTTTAATCAGGCTGCACGTGGGAGACTGGTTCCTCGAAATTATAGGGGCTGCTTGTCGGGCTTCCAGGAATTCGGTGGACTCTGGAGATTAGGCCGGAGATAATTTGACGAATGGATTAATTTATTCGGTGAAGGGTGCGCGGAGAAATGGAAATTACCCAGTGTTAGAGCAGAGTACACAAAATGGAAAAATGCGATATTAAATCAGTTGACTGAATTGGGTTATTAGAATTATACGTTCATCAAACTGTCACCGCAATGGGTAGCATTGTTTATAATATAGAAATGTTTGCGAATAATCATCGTTTGAGTGAATTGTAATTCGATTTGGTCACCGGTGACCCCCATGGCATTCGTGTTAATATCAGTAGGCAGGATTGGAAAGAAGGAAGAAGCATTGTCTATTAAAAGAATATTAGAAAGTAGAATAGAGTGTATAATAATGATAGCAACCTTTTAGCCGTCGAGTTGAAAAATATATCTAACAGTATAATACGACTAAGTTAACCCTCTACAAACCGAATCTTTTTCATGATTGTAACAGAATCTATAAGTACAAAATTAATAAATATCCACATATGAATACGAATTAACAATGTAGTTAATAGTTTCAATAATTTCATCAAACGAATATATTTTGTGACTATCACAATGACGTTAAACTTTCACGTCTGAGCGTATAAAAGTTGAAATTAACTGATTACTTTATTTTATTCACCACTTCGAGTGCAAAATGAAATAAATCAACAAGATGACAATATACTGACATCTGACTTCAAAGTAACATGGGCCTATAGAGGGTGAAACATTGACAAACGAAACAGCTAAGAAAATGAATTCTAAGAGGCGATTCTCGGGAAAGATCCATTTCCAAAACAATGCAAACGCGTGAACGCTGAAAGAAAGACGGAAAGCGTCGCAGAGGCGACGTATTAAGAAACAGATCGCTATCGGATCGACCGGCAGTCCATCATTCCGCTGTCGGGGCAGGATAAAGCCCCCGTGGAAATTCTTTGGGCGTCCGCGGTCGCGTCTATCATTTTTACGAGAAAAAGGCTAAGTTTCCCGGTCGGTTTTATAACGCGACGTCACTAACGAGGCACCGTTGCACTTTTTGTTGCAGCCAGCGACGCGCTCGGCCGAATCGATAAGGAGCCAGCCTCGCCGGAATCCATACAAGGTGAGTTTGCACAGAGTTTCATCGTCCGTCTGTCGTCCGTTCCTCTCTTCCCCTCTTCTCCGGCGTTTCTCTCGCTCCCGCGGCATCGTCGTCTGTCCGTCCCTCTCCACCTTTCCCCGTCCCCGTCCCCGTCTCCGTTCGCGATACGATTAACGTACCGAAGGGCTTAACCTTCGCCGATGGCAGGAACATAAATTTCACAAACGAATAATACGACACGGCGGAGACTGAGCGAAAGCCGAAGTATCGGCATTATAAATCCGCGTCGTTATTTCTTCGCCTCCTTTTTGCCGGGCCGACGGAGCCCCGGCCGACGTTTAATTGCACCGATGAGCCTGTACGCGTACGCGCCTCGAAGAAAATCGTCGAGAAAGGAAAGGGGCGCTTGATTGAGAAATTTTCAGACGGCGAAAGAACCGCCGCCCGGGGAATTTTATTAATCGGCCACCTAGTTGGGACCTGTCGCTCTCTCGTCGCGCGCCACGCGTTTTTTCCGACAGGCAGAAACGAAAAACCGAGCTGTTCCTCGTTTGTATCTTCGTATCGAGCAACTTTTTGATGCCACTTGGTGGCGGAGGTTTCTATATGGGGGACAATGGAGTACGAGCCGAGTACAGTTTGATGAACCGTTGCTTTGAAGCAATTAGAAGTGAACGGCCGATGGAGGTGTTGATAGATTCTGTTAATAGTTACCTACATTTTCGGTTGGCAATTCGTTCTGAAATTATACAAATCTATCTACTAATCTGGATTATTCGCGAACAAGCCTCTATATTTGTGACTCTAAAGCTACGCCTAATTTATAAATATCTCTAACCTTTATTGCGAGAAGATAGTTCAACCTTAAATATGAAGTATCAACTCTAATACTACCAAGTAGACCAATCTTTTAAATCACCCAGAGTTCCAAACTCTCAACCATCAATCCCTCAATCCACACGATCGAACTTTCAACTCCCTATTTCCACAAAATCCCGCTTCCACGCAAGAACCATCGATGTTTCCGTTACACCGCACTATGCCAGCGCGAAGCCCACACAGTCTCATCTCGCGGCGTTCCGCGCAGGTCCTCCGCTAATCTGTTTCCACGTAAAATATGTCATAAAACCAATTACACTCGGCGGGAGCGCCGCCCACCGGGGCCCGCGCGCGGTTTGTCATTTGCCCCGGCGGATTCTTTCGCGGTGTATAACCGGCCTTTTAACTAGGGACATTATCCGCCAGCCTTGCCCCCGCCATGATTTTTCGCCGGAGTCGTAAACGGCCGATGAAGACGTCCGCGCAACCCCCTCGGGCGTTCAGAAAAATTTCGAAAAATCTTCGAAGGGATTCTGTTTTAAGGGATTTCAAGGGAACCGGGCTTCCCACGCGACTGAGGCGGCCGACGAAACGATTCCCGCGTCGGATAATTTAGGCTCGCGTGAGAACTGTCGGCCCTAGATCCCTGCGTGTCTCTTTCCGTCCCTTCGCGGCTGATTCTGCTGACTGTTCGCGTTTCTCTGGAAAACGCCGGGCTGTCGCTTGTCTCTGATCGTAACACGTTTCGGGGATGTCTACGTCGACGACGACTGTAATGAGGCGTTAGACATTAACGAGCGAATCGACTTCTGGATGTCTCCTTGCTGGAATTTGTATCGAGATATTTCGGCTGGTTTTTGGTATGAAGCGTTGTTTTTAGCTTGAAGTGACTTCTGATGATTTTGTCAATCTTGTAGGTTGATAGATCTTACAGAAGGCTTCTAGCATTGTTGTCTTTTATACGACACATGATTCGATGCAGTAGAATTCTAAAGTTTGAACATTAAGCTTCCCACAATAGTGAAACGAACTAGCTTTGTTCTTTAATAACACGATCTAATCTACTTCGCATCCACATTAAAACCAAGTACCTCAGATCCTACCATTCCTATTCGCACAGTAAAGTCTACTAGATCCACACTTCGCCTTAGACTTTCCACGAACGACACCCCGCCAGAAAACTCCGTTACCTCATATTCAATCTCGGCCGAACCCGACCACGACTCACGCGGCGCGAGAGGAGGCATTGTTCTACCGCGTCCTTGGTCCCGAGCGCATCCGCGAGAACGTTCCTCTCCGGCGCATCAAAAGCGCGCCCCCTCCCCCCGGGAATCGAAAAATAAGCAATCACGATCGGGGCGGGATGCTAACAAAGCTCGCGGGGGAAGGGTCGCAAAAAATCGGCGCTTGGACCGGACTCTCGGAAATCCTGAACCGGTCGTAACTAAGAGGGAAGAGGTGGACCGAACGGATCCTGGCCGCCTGCACCGTCGTCTCCATCTTCTCCGTCGTCGTCGTCGTCTCCGTCGTCGTCGTCGTCGTCGCGTATCTCGTCTACGACCGCAAACGGCCGAAGGGGGCGAAACCGAGAAGGAGCGAACGATCTGGTCCGTGCTCGGGGAGGAAACGGGCACCGGGTTACCTGGCCTCGGCGTCGACAGGGTGCGGGACGAGGCGGAGAGGGACGACAGATCACAGCCGACCTGTGTTTTACTTTATAGCATTTAGCCCCATTGTTTGTCTTATTGCTATTAGCCTCCGTCAATTAGTAATTGTATCTTTAATGCCGATTCCGTGAATCGGGTCCGGTGCAGCGGGGACCGAGCGCTGGGAGGACAGAGGTCCTCTTTCTCCAGCACCGCCGCTTCCTCTGCTAACCTTGGCGGTTCGGGCCAGCCGGGGACGGTAGGAGAAAATCAGACGGCGGAATTGGATGGTGGGGAACTCGCTGGCGGACGGGACCGACGACCGACGGAACGGGGCCAGGAGGGGGGCATGTCATTAGGAGTCATTAATATCACGGACCTCTGTAATTTGACACACTTCCGATCGCCTAGCGCCACCGCCGCCACCCGCTCCATTTTTCTTCCCTCTCCCCCGGCCACCGCGAGCTGCCTGTCCTCCTCGGGCCGCAGCGTTTCAGCGCTACCCTTTCCCTTTCGCGACCGACTTCTTTCGTTCGTTATCTGGAATAGGATGGTCGCTGCACGAGCAGCTGAAGGTTTCTTCGGAGGTCCTCGGCGGGGAAAGTGAATGGACCGCTCCTCGCGACGACTATTGGTGATTAACGCTTTGCGCAGGGAGCCTCGGTCAGGTTTGATACGGAATTGTCAAGTTTGGCGGCTTACATTGACCTTTGTATGATGTATGGAATATCAAAGCACGGCAGCCTGGTCTCTTCATTTGCCTGTGACTTGTCTTCGGTGTCGAGTATCCCTAGGAAAAAAGTTTCTAGCGCGAAGGGTGAATTCTCGTTGGATTGACGATTCAGATGGAATATTTGTAGTACTGTAAGATCTATACTGTACTAAAATTGTCCCAAATAGGATAGGCGGTAGAACAGCATATAAACAAAGTGAGGAATGCGAGCGAGAGCAATCGAAGTTAGCGAATTGAAGAGTAGCGAGCGTGCGTGTAGAAAAGAGGGTAAGAGAGTCGGCGAAAGTGTCGATCGGAGTAATGCGAGTTTTGTGTTATACATACATATTCTAATAGATAAATAAAACTGTGGAAAAGTTCTATTTATTTCGCATAAACCTGTAATACTGAATTTTGTTAGTAAGATTAGGCACGTTGGGAAATACTGCCGAGCATCGGGTATCATTTGGAAGCGAGGTGATTCGAAATACACCTGCTCCCTTCATTAGCGGTATTTTTCTTTAAAACTCACTTCACAAAAGGAACACACCGACCCGATGAAGAGTCGGAGCAGCCGAGGATAGTTCCATCGAAGTCCAAACACTCGACTACTAAGAGGGTTAATTGAAATTACACGCCGCGTTGTGCGGAACGTTCAGGTACAATCAATTAGTCAAGTGTCTCTGAGACAGCGTGGGATGCCGAAGCTTCGTCGGCTGTCTTCTAATGAATCGCCGATAATTAACTCTCGCCTGACATTTGGCTCTCGCTTACGGAGCGCGGCGTTCGAACAGCTGTAAATGCGCATCGCCGGAGCGTTGCGAAAGATTCGTCGCGTCGCCGGATGAAAACGAGCAGCCCTGCTATGATTCGGAATGCAAGCGCACGGCCGCGATCGATATGATCCGCGGATGCTAATCGATACCGCTAATCGTTTATTCCTGCGTCGTACAGGCACACCTGTTCGACCGATATGGTCAGACCAGAGATTCTTTTAACGCGGGCTTCATGGAGATCACTCGAACGGAGAACGGCCGAGTCCCTCATCATACTTTGTAATGTAAACTCCCGGCGATATTTTCTTCGTTCTTTGTCTCGTTTCTTCGTCCCTATTTTTTTTTTAATCCTCCGCTCTCCGCGTCGTTCTTTCAGCGTCTCTTAATAACCTTTCGATCATCGAGACTCCCGGCTCAGGACGTTCGAACGGAGTGTCGGTCGGGTAGGACATCGCGGTGCGCTGTCTTTCGCCTCGTAATTTGTCGGTTAATCCTCGTTCACCTGTCGATCGTTATCCCGTGAAATCGATATCGCCATTGTTTCCACCGGCTCCGTGTTTCGTCTGCTCCGATTAGCTTACCGAAAGCGAAACGTTCGGATACAGGTGTTATAAGATCGGGATCGCTTATTGAAAGGTGTTCCTGATAAATTAGTTGTAGGATGTTGGACTGCTAGGATCTAGGAAAGCTGCGCGATTGTAACAGTTGTTGGGAAATATTTATTCGTTCTAATAAGGGTTATCGTTTAGCCAGATATTCTCGATGCAACGCGTTTCCTGATAAATCAATGACAAATAGGTATTAAGACAACACAAACGAACTGCGTTTATTAGTTTCCATACGTAGTTCAGTAAAGTTGCTAATAAGTTCTCTGAATTACCCTAACCTTAGATATTTAACCCCTTGGCCTATGATTTCTTTCTCAACTCTGATCGATATACTATTTTGTCATTAATAATTTATTGGAACAAGAGAAAAATTCTAAGCATATGTTATGCCTATATTTCCTTTTAAGTATAATTGATTACAGAGGAATAATATTCACTTTGAATTCGAGCAATATATATA